AAAGGCAACTGCAAAAGAAAGTTCAAACATGTCTTCCCGAACTCGCTGGTTCAAAGTTCTACTTGCTTTGATCCAAGCAGTGCTGATCTTTACTCCGCACAATGTGAAAGCAGATTTCAGTGAGAGTTGTGTCAACTCCACCACGTCAACTTCCTGCATCCATACCTATGAACAGCTCTATAACAGCTTGGCAAAGTCACAAAATAGCTTCAACATTGAATCAGCTTTATATCCAGCCAAAAGACCTTCCTCAGTGCTCGTGCGTGTTAGTATATATGGTCCCACCAACAGCACAAAATCTTCCCAACCTTATGCAAAGTACCTCTGGAGCATATCATGTCTGTACGCCGCCATTCCAGCCACACTATTGGAGGTTTTGTCTCTTGGATCCATTCTTGTAGCCCCCCGGACACAAGACCTCGCCATCCAAATTCCACCTTTCTGTTGCAATGTGTCAGACAAGGACAGCGACAGAGGATCGATTATAAAAGGAATGATTGAAAGCATTCTAGCGGCTGTAAGTGCATCAGAACTTAACTGTATAACGCAGTTATTCGGTTTGTAGTATACACGATCCCAGCAGCTGTGCTCATTAGTAGTAGGACTTTTATTAGTAGTAGGACTTTATTTAAGTGTCGAGGTGTTTAGCTTTGGACAAACTAATTGGGGGCACTAATAAAATATTAAGTGTATACATTAAAATTAGGACCGTTTACATAAACACAAGTAGAAAAATCTAAAAGGTAAAAATTTCTAGCTAATTATTACACGTGTATGCTAACTGAGGACACTAACAGAATCTTAAGTGGATAAAAAATAATAATAGAATAATAACAATAATAATAATGATAATAATAATAATAGGGTATTTATACAAATAAAGGTAAAAAAGATCTAAAAGGTAAAATTCTTAAAGTATATCAAAACTAATTTATTACACGTGTATTCCTAATATAATTAAGCTTAAAAAGTTAATCCAGCGTCTAATAAAGTCAAAAACATAAATCACATTTCTGCAGTCTTCTAAAAGGAGAGTTAGTTCTTTTTTCTTGATGTTATGTTTAAAACTGTTCAGTGTTAGACTCTCTCTATCCGATAGGTTTAGTTTGCTCCGTAAGACGGGTCCGATCGAGGTAGCGTATAGCAACGAGTGTTTCCCGTATCGTACATTATTCCATCGTGTTTTGTAACGTCCAGTTCAGTTCAACAAGCTCTAACAAAAATGACCTCCATCTACATAATAATCCATCTCGTTCTGCACGATCTTTCACAAGCGCAGGATTGTTGAGGAAAATCAGGATCCAATAAGGGATCCGACAAGTCTAAAGAAACACGTATATTCACTTTCCATCGGGAATTACTTAAGGACATTAATAATGTACACGTGTGTACTAGCAGAATTAGCGATCCTCATAAAGTCCTCAATTCAAAATATTTGAAGATTCTTGTGTTCTCTTCGAGAGTCTCTGGTGTAACTTTGTAGGCGGCGAATTCCTCGACTGTGAAAAATGATAGAAAAATGCTGTGTCAATATCCATCAGAATTCTATAATCTTGTCTCTTGTGTTATCACACAGCACATTTGAAATTTTCCTCTCTATCTTTCTGTTCCTACGAAAGTCATTGAAAGTGTTCCCTGTCTTGCAGCTTCAAGATCTGGCCGTTAAACCAACAATACGGGATCCTACACTGAACACAGCTGAGTGTGTCATAGAGGGCCACAAGACAGACATATCTGCTACAGGACCTATTCGTCGTATCTTTGTCACAATAATTTTATGGTCCCCTGTTAGTTTTACTTTTGAAAGTTGTCCTTTGTTAGCGATCATTTTTGAGAATTATCGGAAAGTGGCAGAACAGCAAAACAACGATAACACAGGCAGTAAAATTCGTCAAACAAATGAAAGTCAGAACTGTGGTGAAAATGGAGAACACCGAAAAAGAAAAGAAAAAAAGAAGAAATTTGCGCAGGTCGTATGCAATTTATGTTGTTTGCTGGCAGTAACAGGTCTCATAATATTATCGGTTGCTTTTGTTTTTTCAATTTGTTACTGCGTTAAGGGTGAATTACGCTGGGATGTCCCCTGGATTCCTTTATTGATCTTAATTGAAAGTATTGCAGTCTTTATGTGCAGAAAAAAATGTCTAGCTGAAATCAAATGTTGGTCAGTACGTTTCACGATATGTGCGTCCGTAACTAGTTACCTAGCATGCTGGCTGCTAATTGGTATAATGATTAATCCAACATGGGGTTTGACTGTCACATTGCTGCTCGTTTTTTTCCTGGCTGCTGTCACGTTTGCACGGTATAAATATCTTATTGCATCTGAGAACAAGGGTCAGGTAGCTCTCTCGTGCGTGTGTTTTATTTTTGCTGTCATTTTTCTGATTCCAGTAGTAGTTATGGCTGGACAGACATATTATGGCAGGGAAACTGCAGATGAAACATTGAAGACGGTGTTGTTGTCTGTTATCGGTGCTCTGCTCTCTTGGTTGTCCTGGAAGAAATATTTATTAGAGCCTGCAGGTGATTCACCTAATGCTCCACAAAACGATAGGGAAATGCAGCTGCTGCAGAGCAGAGCAAATGCAGAGCAGCCTCTCCTGGCAGATCAATCCAGTTCAAATTTAAATGAATAATCAAATGGTGACGACTGAAATTAGGAAATAATTTCAGGCACGTTTTGTCAAAATTTTAATCATTACCCGAACCTTTAGGAGAGGGAAATGATTTGAATTTTGACAAAACGAAAGTGAAATTATTTCTTAATTTCACGAGTATACTATTTGATTACCTGTTAATATCATGGGTGACAAACTGCACTTACAATAGTTAAGTTAGTTTTTGACTTGTTTATTGTATCGAGAAATTTCGCGCCAAACGTTGCCAATGAAATTTTGTAATTTCACATATGAAATATAGATTAACGCTGAAGTTTCGCGACAAATTAATCAGTAATTTATCACCCATGATATTAAAAAAGAAAAGCTGTTTATCAGGTATGTGAACACATGCAAACGTTAGGGACATAGTTACTAACTGAACTGCCAATTAGATTTTTTATGAGGTGATAGTTGGCGAGGCCGAAGGATGCATGTTTATGACCATGCAGGGGTCCATTTCTCGAAGGTCCCAACAAAGTTTTCCCACCCGGAAAGCCAAAGCAAAATCTCAAACCTTATGATTACAGAGCTGTTTTATTAACATATTCTTGATATGAACAGAGGTCCCCTCCCTACAAGACGTTTCAGGCGTATACACTTCTCTGTTTATAGATACAGATTAACTAAAACTACCTTTGCAGGCCCGAAAAGTTTCCGGGCCTTTCGAGAAACGGGCCCCAGGGCCGGACTATCCCTGAAGTCAAGTTGTTTAAGTCAGTCGCGCTCGTTTCAGCCTGCGAAAACAGCAGTCCTTCTTCGCTCCAGGACCGAGTGACGAAACGCCACTCGAGCCGGAAGCGATGAAGGACGGCTTTTTTCGCAGGCTACGCTTGTTTCCTGGCGTTCTAAATTAGCTGGTTTAGTATTCATTAGTATTAAATTGGCGAAATGTATCTATATATAATCATATGTTTACCTCGACTTGAATTTTTGTGAGTTTTAGAATTGTTAGAACATTAGAATTTTAATATTTTAGAATTTGTCCTTTTTTGTAATTAATGATTATGTTGTCACCCGGTAGCTAAGACTGTGTGGCTATAGTTAGTTAAGTTGGTTGCACCATACGCAGTCTCCTGAGGAACTACATATTGACCCTTAGTATCCTTATCTATTCTTGTATTCTACGCCCTCGGAAAACTGTTCCCTTCTAGGAACAGATAATGTCCACGGACAAATATCTGAGCATATTTTCTCGCCAAATGAACGCTGTGTTTATTATCCTTCAAATATTTTTCGCAACACGCGCAGTTTTGAAAATTGGGAATATCACTCGGATATTTCCCAGTTTTAGCTGAGGCATGAGATCAAAACTCTTATCCAAGATCGAATCCAGACCCAAATACTGGGTGATTATTTTAGCAATTACCCCTCCTGTGTCTGATCGTCCAGCGGAGCCGCAAGTAGGGTTCCGTTTCGTTTTTGTTTCCTTCACAGTACACGCGTATACACTGTATATAATCAGCACCCTGAAATTTCCTATGTTAGTAATGCAGCAAAAGATTAAGTTGGTAACCAGTGAAAGCACAGGCGATTATCAGACGGCGGCCCATGATCTCCCGGAACTCTCCAATCCAATAACTGAGGAGTTGTAACTGACAGCTGCAATCAGTGACGAAAGTGTTGGGAAGGCTATCTATTTTCCTCCTTCCCTCCCTTCTTTTTCAATGTTGTACCTCAGGATTCGGTTAACTCTTAGACCTCCATATGGGTGTAAGAGGAGACTGTAGTGTAATGATTATTATAGCAACACCGTTATGCTATTATGCTGGTCACTCCTTACTGCAATATTGTGAAACCACTGCATGAGGTAAAAGTGCTAGTCCTGTGTGAAAGTAGGCTGAACTAGATATAGAGAATGATTATGAGGAATAAAGTAGATTAGACATGTAGCATGAAAGAGAGTACTTCTCTGTCTCAGAAACGTAATATGTCCTAAATGACTACACAAAAACCTCATGCGTGGCGTTACTTCAGTCTAAATTTAAAATATATTACAAAAAATAGCGACTTTTGTGATCGGTTGTAGCATACGATCGTAGACAAAATGCTGTATTATTTAAAACACTATTAAATTACATCGGAGTATAAAGCAAGCTCTTCTTACTGCAGAAAAACAAAAGGATGACATCTCGCAGTAAACACATGCACGCATTGCGTGCCTATTTTTCCCCCTTCTACAGATGACTGAACAATGAAAATGATAATTCTGATTGGTTTCCTTAGCGGTCCGAATTTTGCAATACGGACCCCTAAGATGGACCGCTCAAGAAATAATTTCGGCGAGTTGCTTTTTCAATTCATTGCACAAAATAAACAGTTTTTTGGTCCTTCATGTTTGGAGGACAATTTCATTTAAATGTTCACAAAAGAGACACGAGAAACGTAAACAACTGATCACCTTCCGCGCGGGCGTTTACCGAGTATGGGATCGCGGAGACTCATCAGTTTAGCAGCAGATTAAAAAAAACCCTTGCTAACTAAAATACAAAAATATTGACTATTTTCTTTTAAAAATATTCATTTCACGAAAGTGCCAAAAAGCCTGATGAAAAAGAGGTTGACGAGCAAAGTTTGGCAGATTTAAGTTCAACTCATCGCCGTTCGCAAGCAAATATCAGCTAGTACAAACCAGTTACATTGAACTAATTAAATTGTTCTTGTTTGCGCCGGTCATGTGTTCAAACCGCACTGCATTCGGTCCGTAATCACGACCTCAGGCTCCCGTACAGACCTCCTGCTCGAAATTTTAATATTTCAGGATTGTTTAATTTTAACATCGAATGCAGACCACTAATCTTTGATTACTGCTAGTACACTGGCACAGCCTCTCTTGCCATACTTTCTTTTTGATCTTTGTACCAAGACCGAGAAATCTTTTTCCTTCTCTTTCTCCAAACGGAAGTGAAAGAGGTCTGCCGAGGGGTGTTTTGTTGGGAGGCTGGGTCGAGTCAGGCAAAGTAACGCTGTAACGCGCCTCACTGAGTTATCTTTGCGGCAGGCTTTCCTTGCGACAGAAGCTGTCTTCATTCTATCTTGTACCGTTATGGCTTCATCGTCATTTCAAAAAGGATACATTTCAACCGGCCAAAGAGACATAAATGACTTCCTGCCGCTTTCTTGGAAATATAAGGGTTAAATATTCGACCTCGAGCTCGGCAGCTATTGTTGAGGCAAACGTCAAGATGACTGCTTTTCTTAGCTAACTAGCCGGCGTGCCGACGTCACACTGTTTCCTTGGCCAGGTAAGCATAGTTTATTAAAATTTAATACTTCCACGTGTCAAAACGCCGTGAATTGTGTGGCATCAACCCTGTAATTACCGTAGATAGCGTCTCCCTGTTTACAAGGAAGTAGGGTAACCCATAGCTACCCTGTAAACAGGGCTTGTTAGCTGTTCTTTGTATCTACCAATCCTTCATACTATGCGATTGATCAGCAGGGCATAACTCAAGCTTACATACATATATGATGCTTACAGATCTCAGTACATAAAGTTTAAATTTCTTCTTTACAGTTTATTGTGTTCGTATGTCGACGAATTAATGCATTCTGTGTGCGGCAAAGCGGGAGCATAAATATTATTTGCTCTCGTGACACTTGCCTTCTCCCGGGAAATGGAATACTGGATGCATTAAGCGGCACACGAAAGGTTGTAAGCTTGAAAATAAAGTTAGCAAGTTGATGTGCAGTACAGTGACCAGTTCTTGTTTGC